CGTACCGTTTGCGTAGCACTTCCGTACCGTTTGCGTCCCAGGTGGAACAGCGAACGTGTACGGGTCTGTATACACAAGAATAACACAATCTTGTAATGTTTAATATCAAATTTACGTACCGTAAACTTCTACCTCGCAAAGCTCCAGAAAAGCATTTTCAGAGTACCACGATAGATTTCCTGACCGTCTGTCGCTGTATATCGTCAGGAACTGGGCACTACCTGTACACGGGATATCGGGAATCAAAGACAACTCGTCCGCCGTTGATGATGTGTCTTTATAGCAAAGGGAACCGTTCTGCCAATCCGACGTGTTCGACTGGTATATTTGAAAGCCACCAAATCGTTGTCTTTGCTCATAATCTTCATCGTTTTGTTTCCCTATTTGATAAACAAGATTCTTCACTAGAGCTTATGATTATATATTGTTTTTACGCAGGGTTTTTTCCCGTTTAAGCAAGGAAAATCTAATCCGCGCGAGAAAAATACTGATCGTATTATATTACCAGTGAAACGTTTGACACTTTTCATTGTTTTTGAACACCCCTATAGGTTGATGGTTAGGAAAAAAGCACATGCCTGCTGTTACCGACTGCATGTTCTGCAACAGGCAACTGATGTAGAAACCTTCTGAGGAAATAGGGATTTACATGTGTTTTCTCTTTTTGGCAGGAGCACCTTAATCATGAAGCTGCTTCTTAATGAGAAAGGTGACAGTCCCATTGCTGGTCTCAAATGCATTGTTTTATAGCCGACGACCTGAACCTATTAAGACTCTGGATCTAGTAGAACTGAGATGAAGTTTTTCAAAGAGGTTGTACCTTAAAATAGCACATTTGGGATCTTGACACCTATAAAAAATGGATTTGTTTTAATCATTTGATCGATGTGACCTCGAAAGAGAATTGATTCCAGTCATATTTCTCAACCCTGATTGCAATCCAAAAGTTGAAAAAGTTGAAAAAAGTTGTAACAAATGCTATTCACATGTAATGATAAAACAATTGGCACCGGACATTATCTACAAATGATGTACATACAGTAATACTGTATAATCAATAGTTTTGAAGGCATGGCGACCATATTGAATTATGGACCAATTGAAAATGTTTGCTTCAATAATGCAGTGCACACCTCCTGACAATGACCTCCAACAGATCCGAAAGCCTATAAACACACCCGCTACCAATACAAAGATAAGGTGGTCACAACATTTTGTTAGAATAATAAAAAGAAGAATAAAAAGAAACAACCAAAAGTGATATGCCTTTTCACCATTTGGCGAAAAGCCCTAATGACCAATGTGTGTAATACGTTCGTCCTACAGTTAACGAATTATCTGTGTAATCATTGCAGTTGTTATGCAAAGCAAATCCCGGAATGATACAAAAAAAAACAGACAAAGCCAGGCAAACAATTGTTATGCAAAGCAAATCCCGGAATCGTGCTGTTTAAAAAAATGTGTCAATATCTAGAAAAGGTATGTTTCTGTCAAAGAAACCGTATAGTTAGAGTAGTGTTAACATCTAGTAAACATTCATTGAAATGATATTGCCCAATAGCCCATCATTGCCTATGTTAATTGATAGATTGTTACAGAATAATTCCCAAAATAATACAAAAAAATAAATTCCATACATTTTGTTTCTGTATTGTTTAGTCTAGGTTATAAACTAGGTATATTTATCTAAATGAAACATATTTAACTTTCCATCAGTACAATTTCTGTAGCGTTTTATTAAGCTGCTATATCACAGCAAAGCATATGTACAGGGAGGAATCATTGCTAGTTATTATTATCAGGAAAAATCCTCAATGAAATTGTGCCTAACAAGGATTGACTTTGCCACACCTCCTATTCATAGGTACACGGACATAAGTACTTACACATGTATCGAACGGTGTCGTGTGTTTACGTATACACAAAAAACCGAGTCAGAGCACTTGTACTAGTACTACATGTATACACAACAGTCCGTCGTTAATACACACGAACTAATTCAGGGTCAATATACAAGCTGTACAAGTGTTATGGAAACCTGTGGTATGGAGTTACAACCTGTTGGACCGAAGACTCATTAGTCAGAACTACAAACAACATAGACAGCATTACAACTCATCTATTGATATATGTATTGCATGTATATGTACTTTGCATTGGACTGTCTGTATTGTTATGTCGTATGACGTCATCCGTGTTGTTTGTGCCATTCTCGGTGTAGCCTAACGGACCGTTCAACCATTTGGGATTTGTTATGCAATATGTATATCTAAAAATTGATGTCACTGTGTAATGTATTATACACATATCTAGTTCGATTGTTTACCAACCTCGTAACCGCCAGTGTTTCACATAAACACGGATATATACGGGGCACCACCAGAAAGACAGAGATACCACGTTTCTTATGCGGGCATCAAATACATTTTATAAGTTATAATTATAATTATCATTATAAGTTCTTCTAGATCTACTTGCCACCATGCTTCCTTTTGACCGTCCTGTGTATGTGAACAACAATTGTTGCTGTCGAATATTTGTGTTTTACAGCCATCTACCGCCTTACCACTAGGATATTTAGGAAGATAGATTGAACTTTGAGTGGTGTTTTTGACATTTGGTTCACGACTGGTGTTAACTGTAAACAAACAAAAAAGTTATATATTGCCGATATAAAGTACTAATAATTGTCACTAATATCAACATTACATGGTCATCAATGTATGACTGTGTTGATGGTAAAATCAAGCATTAAAGACACAAATGACGAGCACAAATTAATGGTGAACGGATATTAATATTGGTAAACAAATGTACACAAGTACCATCAAACTGATTAGAAAAGAGAACCAGGACTTTGTTATCATAGTGATGATTTGACCGGTTGACTAATCTGTTATGTTATGTTATACTTTTAATTGAAACTGCTATGTCATCTTTAAAACAACTGCAGATCACTAATTATCCGGATTTCTTTTCTGATTTAAAATTCATGATCAAACGCCCATGTTACTAATGACTATCATTTAAAAAAAACCAGGCCAAAGCAAAACATTTATTTATTAAGAAATATGATGATATTAGTGCAGATATAAAGTTTAATTATGGTTAAATAATCATCTCGAAGACGTGAGATTAACTTCATAAATATAACAAAATGTGTATAAACCATGTGGGAAAATGAATAGCCGTAGCTGTTCGGGTGAAGAAAACTGCGAGATATGGGGTGTCTGTGCAAATCAAAATGGCAGACAGGGTCACTTCCACACAACTGAGGTATGTGGAATAATGTGACCGGATACACAAAACGTTATTATTTAATAGTTGTAAATCAGAATTTGTTCATGGTATAAGTAAGTAAAAACAATGAGAACTCAATGTCGTCTTCCAAAGATTTTTCTCAATAATGTTATTAAGATTGTTTTGCATGAATTATCTTGACCTCACGTAATCAAGATGAATATGGTACAATAATTAGCCTTCTGTTTCAAACTTACCGAGGGGATGCTATGTAATTTAACAGCATCTTTCATTTAAAAAACTACTATGCTTTTGATTATGATTGTATGTGTATGACTGTCTCACAGTGACTGTTGATCTCTGTTTGATTTTGTGATATGTAAATATTCATATTCTGGCTTCAAACAAGGGCGAATCGACCTGAATAATTGAAAAATGTTTTTTGTCTGCACTGCCGTTATTTTGTCTTTGCCAATATATGTAGTGAAGTAATACACATCCAACCAACACTTGTTTGTTCGGATCCAGTGTCCCAATTGGATTATACTGTCGTTATTATAGACCTATGATATGTATGGGACAAGGAAGTAATTCTAACAAAGTAGACATTATGAGGTCGTCAAATTAAACACATTAAAACACCAAACACATACGTTACGTTTAAACAAATTAGATATACTAGCACACTACTAAAATATAAAGACAATAAGCCCCTCGGCTAACGTATATATATACGGTGTTGGTAGATTATATAGGTTCATACCGATTATAAAAGACAAATTATTTTTTTGTCAAGGCCATGCGAACAGTGTTGTAAATCATAACAATCGCCCTTCCAATGTTAATACAATAGAAAGACCAGCAGCCACAAAGCACAATTGTAAGGCAATATTTAAAACAGAACTAGTATATTGTTAATGTGCTGTTTCTATATGTTTGTATCTTGAAATAAATGCGTATCGTTTGATACGTTGTCACAGAACTGAGTCTAAGGTACACGCTAAATATTTACCCCTACATGGTATGTCAGCAATATGTTCATGGTAAAACACCTACAGCTTTTGCTATGATATGTAGATCTAAATCAATGTAACGTATAGTTTTACATTAGAATGAAGAATACACAGAAAGTGTACATCCAATCATACCTGATGTGTTGACAATCGTAAAAGTTGATAAGAGACACAAAACTTCCAGCAACCAGACAATACACACCTCCATTCTACATATACTGCGTATCGTATAAGACGGGTGCTTTGTGTCTGCTATATCGCAAGCGCACAACTATCCAATAAGGAAGTAAATAGTATTATTTACTAATCTATCAAATTGTACAACCATTCGACATGGTTGTTCTTTGTCAGTATTTGTTATCTTGTTATGTTGCGTGTGCACATTTGGAGCTTATTAAGTTTAAAAATATAAACTAGACGACAATAAAACCAATTATCATGTATAGCACATATCGCCTAAACAGCCGAGTGTTGCACATTTGATACATGTATATATAGCGTGACGTCCGAAATTACATGTCGGTGGGGATATCATTGTAATGTGCTCTCCAGACGTGACCGCATGTAACTTAGCGAACTACACACCGTGCTATGTCCTTATTGGAATGGCTCTTTATTTATAAACTAAAAAAGGTGATGTTGTAAAGAGATATGTGTGTTACATATTGCAGCATTGTACCAGTCTAAGTCATATACAATGCATGT